TTTAGTAAATAAATTTGTTCCTGAATAATTCATTGTATTCGGTACACTTTGTAAACAAATTTGTTATTACATAACTTTGTGTATTCAGTACACTTTGCGCGTTAGAAAACAATTTTTTATTGAATAATTTATTATATTCAGTAAACTTTGAACGTTAGTAAACAAATTTGTTATTGAATAATTTTGTGCATTCGGCACACTTTGCACGTTAGTAAACAAGTTTGTTATTAAATAATTTTGTTATTGAATAATTTTGTGTATTCAGCACGCTTTGTACGTAAGAAAACAAATTTAATTTGTTATTGAATAATTTGAATATTTAGTTTGCTTTGCACGTAAATATAACACTTTTGATATTATTTTATTTATTATGTTTAAACTACACAAAAATATGACGTAAGAGAATTATAATTAACAATTTTCAAGTTATATTTTCATAATTCGAATACCCATTATCATCCAGTTAGCGAAAAACGTCATTGATGGTCATGATAAATGAAAGATACGTCATAGAATAATAATTAAATCGTGACTCTTAAGACATAGGTGGTAATTTTTGTTTTCAATATAATTCAACTATGACATACACCATGTTATATGACGTACTTTTAAGACATAAGTGTAAGTTTTGTTTTCAATATAACAACTATGACATACACCCTGTTATATGACGTACTTTTAAGACATAAGTGGTAAGATTTGTTTTCAATATAACTACTATGACATACACCATGTTATATGACGTACATTTTTGAATATCTATTACCTGCATATCCCTGATCTAAAAGGTCAAAGACATTCATATTCTTACTTCATCAAAAATCTATTCCCGGGTGTGAATAATAAATATAGCTGAAAAATAAAAAAAAAAACGCCCCCCCCCCCCAAAAAAAAAAACCCCCCCAAAAAAACCCAAACAAAACTGGATGGCTTGATACCGTTTTGTTTTGTTTGTTTGTTTTTTTTTTCATTTTTTTTACATGAAACTCAACAATCTAAACTAAACGGATGTATTCAGAAATTTAAAAAAGAAAGTCGCAAAACAGGTGTCTCTTAATTAAAGTAGAACAGATATATTTTATGATTTTACTTTTCTTAATCCTCTCTATTGTTTTAACTTTAATATAGATGTTTATCGATTTGTTTCTCAACTTCTACTTTTTGTATTTAGCCGGGTAAAATATTTTATAAAATAGTGAGAACTACTTTACTTTGACAACATCTATAGCGTGCAAGTTGAAATTTGGGACACCAGCCTCGTGTGTCGAACTTAAACTTTGAATAAACCCCGGCGACCTTTCTAAGCAAACCTCCAAATATACAACGATGTAAATTAATAGTATAAAATTTGAACATGTCATATATCATATTGAACCAGCAATTTCACGTTATCTCCAACTTATGTCGTTTTTATCACGGCCCTAAAAAGAATTTCCGATTTATTGAAGCTAGTATGGTGACGTCAGAGTTGATATTGCTCTTTCCGAGGGTATAATATTTTATCTCTGATGGTGAAGAGCGAGAATTATCTTTAAGGAAACGTAGGCCACGGTGGTAGTCGTGTTGTCAATTCAAAAAGGTCATTTTCTTGTATCACTACAAGTCCCTTTGAAAGAACAATTAATTGCTTATTTTGAAAGTAATTATTGAACGAAATAAAATAATTCATTGCATGCTTACAATGTTTTTTGCTCTTTTTCCGACCACGATGTTTTTTTTTATGAAGAAGGGTTTTAATTTGGATGTTGCAAAGGCTGTTTGACATCACACACTTTTCAGAAAGTGCACATACGTGAATTGCAGACAAAAAACAAAACAACAAAAAAAAAAACAACATCTGATCAAGAAGAAATTTGAAGGAAACCCCGCTATTAATCATTTGCTTAATTATTAAACGATCAGTACTAATTACTAAGTTCTAAATAAATTTCTCAGTCCTAATTAGGATACTTAAAGGTGTAAAACGTTAAATCACTGAATTTCTTTCGATCTATGGCATATAATTGTTGTTTAATAACAATTTAAAAACAACGTACAAAGTTTTAAACAGAAGACTGTGTAACTTTTAGCGCCCAAAGGACTGTGTAACTTTTAGCGCCCAAAGGGTAATATTTTGATAGTGTAATCTGGGGTCTTATTGTTAATCAATTACCGGGGTGCTGTTTCATTAACACCTTAGATAGATTCTTTGTGTCAAAGTTCAAGTCCTAAATAACATGTATTATGTACCGATAATGTTCATTACACCTGCTAAATGACCGTCATAATAAACCATAGTCCACAACGCCATATTACACAATCTTCCTACTTCACGTAAAAAGATAAGAGCTAGATGGACACTGGTCAATTTTCAACATTTTTTATAAGCACCTGGATGATTGGTTACGACTATTGTCTTGTTATCAAATGAAGCCATTACGTTGTTACAGATTATCTTAAATATTCTGGGACGATAAAGAAAGAAATCTGGCCTTTAGTTCTTTTAACAATGTATTTAATCATAATATGCTAATGGAAATTCTGAAGAAAAAAACCCCCAAACAATTGTTGTCTATACCTATTTAAATGTTGAGAAAATATTTTAAACCTCAAAAATATGTTCCGATATCTATTGTTTTTTAAACCTGCAAATTTTGTTAAATAAAATAGTTATTCTAATATTTATTTTAAAAGATGACCATTCAATAAACTAAAGGAAATGTGTAAATAACCATCAAATAGATGTGTTTTACATTGTTCCCTACAGGTATAAGTAATAGAGGATATGCTTTCTGTTCCCAGAAAAACGTACACCACTTTTCATTTAATAACCTTACACTCATTTTTAACTGTTCAATTTTACAGAAAATGGGAAAAAGCAGAACAAATTCATTATCATTTACAACGAATACTCGCCAAATTCTATTTCAGAAAATACAAAATATTCTTTGAGAACAAATTTATACGCTTTAACAAAATTATCTGTTTTGCCAATATCTATAGTGCAAATTACACGCAAAACAATGTTTTTATTTTAGGAAAAGCGCATCTCAAATTACTGTGAAAATTGCCCGGTGTCTTTCTCGCTTAATAACGAAGTACTAAACATTGACAATAGAGCAATTTTATCAGAAAGCAACTGGGAATTGACGAATACTAATATCACGAGATGGCGTTTTAACTATAAAAATGGTATTTGATTAAATTCATTATATAGAAACCAGAAAACATTGACTATTCATCGTTTACACTATTGTCTAATAAATTATGAACGTTATAATCAAATTATTACCAGAATTTTTGCGAAATGCGAAGGTATTTGTAGAATTATTAAACAAGCTAAAAGAATGAATTCAAATCACCATTTTACACGCTATAGAGGCTCAGATCAGGGAGATAGGACATCAACATGAACAATTTAAAATAGTAACATTCATTTCCTGAAAACAGTTCGTGTAGATATTAATTTATGACATTAACTGTCTGACAATAAACATAATAAATCAATAAAAAGATAAATATTTCTTCCAATGACGTCACAATAAAAACGCCAAAGTGCTAAAACATTAATAACCCTTTGAAAAAATAAATGTAGACATTTTCTTGTTATCGATATTTAAATTATAGAATTTTAAACATTAATCAACATTCGGATTTACGTTTTTGAAACGTGATGAACATTGTTTTAAAAAGGTTGTATTTCAAGGGATGTTCTTGTCTGCGAATGATAAAGAAGAGAATTAGAAAAGGGGCTAGTAATATTAAATCTTGGTCGAAACAAACTCCCATTAAAAGAGATACGAATGTTTCTAGATAAAAAAATCCAAAAGGTAACAAAAATAGTATGGATTTCAACTTAAGTTTAGAAATCCGCGTGTAGGATATTTATTTCTAATTTGAAACATTTGTAAAACAATTAAAGTCTCAGGGGTATATATTGAAAATACGAAAGTAAAAACCTTATCACGTGGAACGCGGTTGAATATTCTTCATTTTATTTTCTTTATCTATCAATAAACAAAGATAATAAAGAATTTAGATAATTCTTAATCTCATTTTAATTTAAGTGGAAATGTTGATATAATAAATAAAACTGTTGACTTTTATCGTTGTTGAGTATAGAACTTTAAACAGGAGTAAGTTTACCTTGTCAATAACTATGGTTTAAAAAATTAAATATTAGCTCGGCATGCTATTCCAATTTATCTTGTCAATATGCAAATATTTGGTGTGAGTCTATGTTGTACAATATACATATCATGTTCAGCTATTGATATAAATATTAAGGAACAAGTGAAAACCTGACTAAATCGCACACATGAGAGAGTTTTAACAAAACTACTTTTCATCTATCTGAATGATTTAATCTTTTCTGTTTTTTAATAACACGGACCGCCGATATTCTATTAAACTGCCCTGTTTGTATGGTATTCCCAATTTGCTACGTCGTTATCCTCTCGTACAAGAACAAAATAAAAAGAAATGAATTTTATATTTAGATAAATTTTTAATCTTTTTTCAGTCTAAAGACAGTTTTTTCTTCCGGTGAGAAGAAAAAGAAATGAGACAAGAGAACGATAGTAAAAACAAAATGAGGGAATGTAATTTACATGAATTTTCAGAAATATATATATATAAATGAATGAAAAGCATGAATGAAAATTAACGAAATATACATGACAAAGTATAATAGTGATATTCAGTTTGTTTTCATGTAATCTCAATTTTTGTTGTTCACAAGACGGGAAATAATCTTAAACAATTTTTTAAAGATTGGAAATAGTAATTAACAACAAGAAAAGTTATCTTAAAATATTGATGTCCACGATGAATATCTCAATTTTATTTCAGATATAATATTTTCTCAAGAATATCATGATGGATGTTTTTGCAAGGAAATAAAATAAACATATTCTTTGTCCCAAAAAATAAAAAAAATAAGTTAAAACAAATTATATATCTCTATTTTACAAAATAAGACAATAGTTTTTTCTACATATATTTATAATATATTATATTACCTGAATTTAACGGCTACAATAGTTAAAAACCTCATACTCCAATTATTATCTCACAACAAAAGGTTCGATAAAAAAAAATGTACACACGAAATATACAAATTCGACCCGTTCAATTTGTCGCCAATTTCACTAATAATTCGCGTGAAATCACGCACAAAATATACAATTAATTTTTCTCAGTTTATATTGAAATCTAAATAATATTCACAACAAATAAGGATACTATATCTTCGCTTCGTCTTTGTATCTTAAAGTACAAAAATTGTTTTTCAAGAAAACACAAAAATCTTTGGCAGTATTTTCACATCTGCGTCGAGACAGTCGTGTCTTATATAAGTATATAATATATAAATTTTTAATATAATTAAGTCAACACATCTTTGGTAAATCGCTGTTTTTGTCCCTTTTTTTTATCTTTTTGGTAACGAAGAGTTGAACTGAATCAGATTTATTTTGAACAGTAAATATATAATAGGTTTATATAATAAATGTATTTTCACTCGTTTCACAAACTTGCCGTAGAATGGGGCGCATATGTCTTATAGTAACTCCCGTCCTGAGCGTTCATTGGGGGCGAGGCTTCTTTCGGCATGCTCATAGGGGACATTTGAGTATAAGCCCCGTACCCACTGATAGCTTCGTACATTTTTAAGTCCATTTTATTTTCTGACATGAGATTGGTAATTGAGAATGGATGATTAAATGAATGTGGATGATTTAACTGTCCTGGTGCCAAATTTAAACCGTGATTCATGGACATATCATGATGTAGTTGCCGCATGCTTGTCAGTTCCGTGCCACAATTTCCCATCTGATTTTGACTAGAATGTGTAAGATGGGACATATCTTGTTGCTGAACGTGTGCCTGAGAATGATTCTGGTGTGTCGGCTGTTCAGTTTTTGGTTGCGCCATTTGTGACTGTTCGACGGGATGAGGAGGGGTGTTGGGAGCCGAAAGAGGGGTTCCGTCCCCAGTTGAGGTAGGCGTTGAATCGGCGCTGTTTTGTCCGTTCGACATGCCACAACTTGGATCGTCGTCGTGTGATGACCGCATGGATTCCTTCTTCAAACACTTGAATCGTTTCTGTCGACGGAGGTAACATCCATTTTCGAACATATTCCCCGAATCTGGGTGTAGCGCCCAATAACTACCTTTCCCCGGACGGTCGGGAGTCCGCGGTACTTTCACAAAGCAGTCATTAAAAGACAAACTATGACGAATAGAGTTCTGCCATCTCTGTTGATTTTGACGATAAAAAGGAAATAGGTCCATGATAAACTGATATATTTCACTTAAAGTACACATTTTGTTAGGAGATTGTTGAATAGCCATTGTGATAAGCGAGATATAAGAATAGGGCGGCTTAGCGTGCGTATAACTTCGGCGATAATTTTTGTCCCTTGCTCTGTTGAGGGCCTGGGCTCGATCCATCGACATCATGTTTGGGTCCATTTGACGATTCATTCCATTCATCGATGACATACTTCCTATACTGGACATCCCGTTCATTGAGCCCATGGCTCCCATGCTGTTCATAGAACCCATAGTGTTCATAGGATTCATCGCTGTCATAGATCCGTGCATGCTAGATCCGTGCATGGCCGCCATTCCACCCATCCCCATGCTGCCCATTGACGGGGGCATGGTGTTCATCGAACTCATAGCACCGTGCATTCCTCCCATACCCTGCGAGGGGTAATTCATGTTGCTCATGGGTCCTACACCTCCCATGGTGTTGATACTGGTCATGGAAGCCATGGAATAACCACCTGAACTCGTTGGGTCGTACGAACCCGGTTTAGCTGACAACATTTTAAGATGGAGTAAAGTCCGTTCGTTCTTCTATCAGTCGCACCCAGTGACTGTCACTAATCATACAACTCACAACAACAAAACACAGATTCGGCCAAGCCACTTCACAACCAGCGATGGGAAATATAGCCAACTTCTCTGACCTGGGCAAATATACCTAGACCACTTCAATATCGAGGCGGACTCATTCTCTAGCCTTCCACCAATCAATACTCGTTATTGAGTGACAAGCTCCGCCCACATAACATGTTTATTTGAATATTGTGTTGACAGTTCGGTATTGGCTGTCGATCACAGTAAAGAACAAAACAGTTAGCTTCAAAACAAGAAAATTTTTACTACACTGATTTTGAAACGTTTCGGTATACATGGAAAAAATATCGCACAAAACAACGGGAAGCGTTGAATGTCTTCGTTGTAAAAAAAAAGGGACAACGCAAGCTAAATTCCACGTATTCAATAACGACTGAAAGAATATTCAGACGTTTGAGAAGGTAGCAGTTTTTAATTCGCCCTGCGAAAATTTGTCACGTGTTTTCTCTGTTTCATCAGGATGACTGCCTGTCAATCAATTGAATAAATCGTCCCTCTGTGTCGACCCAATATAGATGTGCCTCTTCATTCATAAAGGTATCCTATGAGGAAAATAGAATACAATCTAGTACGGTATTGTACTGTAAGTAAAAAGATTGCTTTTTTATTTTGCTCATGGTAAAAGCGCCGAGAAACGTCCTATTACGATGTAGTACGGCGTGAATGGGCTAGCGTTTCTTAATCTAAATCTCTTTTTATAGAAAATGTATTCAATGTTATATTAAAAGAGAATATTACCAATGAATGAAATAAGACTTTAAAATATGAGGCGTATTGAAAACGTGTTAAAAACTTCAAGGGCAACCTGGTGCAATTTTTAATTTTAAGAATAATTTTCCTCCATAATTCTAATGAAAATATCCTACTTGATCACATAAATATTATAAGGATAATTTGTTAGTAGAATGGATAACGTTTAGTAACACCTTCTATTAATGACGCGATCCATTGACGTACTGTCATTCCTCAGGTCTAAATATAGATAATACTTCAATTATTGTTCACGGGTAGAATAAAGTTAAAAGGAAAATGTGTTCACAATTTGAAATAGGTACCAACTTTTCATTTCTTGTCGTAAGATCCCCATGATAGAAATAAATAAATGACAATTTTTTATATCCACATTAGGTTTCTATATACTATAAAATATATACATATATTATCTATACTGTGCATAATCTCACCATTACTGAGCTGTGGGTGTAAAGCGATTAATACTCACGGTTTATTTTATCTACGAAAATTTATAAAATAAAACGTCATATTGCTCAAGTTGCATAATGTAAGCAGGTAATAGTCAAAGTGGTCTTCTGTGTACCCCTTTATCTAGTCATTTAATAGTCATACTCAAAAATAGATTAAGCTGATATAAGCCCTTTTAAATACATGTACATGCATATCAACCAAAAATATCATTTATATATTTTGAATAAATTTCATGGTACAATTTTTAGTGTATCTGTATCTCTATTTTAGGAATTAAATACTGTTCCAAATCACCCACCATATATATATGTATGTCGATCTACCCAATAAAATGATATTGTGTTTTATGACATCCCGACCGTTTAGATAACAATATCAGAGATGTAATACATGTTTATAATACGGTTGATTTTGGTCTTAGTGATCGAAATATAACCATCAGAAAAATAATATCATTCTTGTTAAGCCTCCAACATTAAAGTACTCTTAGATCCGAAATTCGTTTTCAAGATAAGCGCTTGCTGTTTTTCCATCCTTGCATACGTATGAATTGCCAACACATTAAAGCTTTGAACAATGTTTTTGATATGAAGGTGATGACAGCCAGGGTCCCTAAACACCAAAGTGTACTTTGGGTCTATAATTGTTGAGATTTGATGCTGATGCTGACGAGCAAACAAAACCAACATATAATATGTTCTTATATGTGAACTCTATGCTTTAGGTGCGATCACACAGGGGGTTTACTCTGATTTGAATTCAGAATAAAGTGTTATTCCGGATTTAGGCGTCAAACCCAATTCGCCAAAATCCGGACTGAATCTGTAATAACGAGTCCGTATATTTTTCCGAATTCAACCTGGAACAACTTTTCCGAATCGGTTAATTTGCAGCCAAAATTTGAGAGTGGTGAGCTTGGTTCAGATCAACGGGTTTACCGGAATCGAATAACTTTGCGCGCATGTTCACTTCTACTTCCGTTTTATCGCTTTGAGGGAAACGTGTGTATTTCTCGGGTCAATATAGCCAACATAGCCGTATAGGGCAGAACTCGTAATCAGAATTTAATGTGTTGTAAATGTTTGCATTACTGACAAAAGGAAAGGTATGCCACAACCCTTGTTGACTGCTCGGAGGACTTAGCTGCTAAGGGCGCATGTTTCGTTGCCTGACAACCTATTGTTAGCTGGTTATGTTACCGCAGCATTTGTTTCAGTGACGAAGGGCTGCAGTTATGTAGGCTACACCCCAACATGCGCGCAAAGTTATCGTTTCCGGTAAAACTGTTGATCTGAATCAAGCGTGCCACACTCAAATCTTGACTGCGAATAACCCGATTCGAAATAATTGTTCGAGATTGAATTCAGAAAAATAATCGGACCCGTTATTTCAGATTCAGTTCGGTTTTTCAGCGAGTTGAGTCTGACTCCTAAATCCGGCATACGACTTTATTCTGAATTCAATTCAGATTAAATCCCAAGTGTGAACGCACCTTTGGTCTCTATCGAATTTGCATCAGGACTTGCAATCATCAGCCCATGGATATACTACTTGGCCATCCTACCAAAGTAACTTAATAACAGAAATAAGGTTCGTCAGTGAGTGCTCAGATATATAAGATTACCTCGGGGATTGACATGGCCAAAGTGCAAAAAAGACGCATTGCGTCCAGCTTGAATTCAACCATACCGACCCGTGGGGTATGGTCGATTTACATGAAGACAGTGGTCCTTATCGCTCTCTGAGCGATGCATTGAAGCGATAGAACATTGGCACATCGCTTCATGCAATATTGACCGACCGAGAAAGTTCCGATGTATTATCCCCATGTCAGTAGTTCTGGGTGGGGGTCCTAGTAAGGAACAATGTCTACTACTCGTTTGAATGTGGAAAGAAAAAGGGGGTCACCATTATCATTTTGTGAACATTTTTAGATTTCAAATGCCTATAAAAAGATTGAATTTATTGACTGTCCGACTCGTTTCATATAAATTAATATTATCATGACTGACATTGTTGCCATAATTATTGGCAGCTCCAGTACCTTTCTATTTCTCCTGGTAAAACGTTCATGGCGCTAATATGATCAAATCTCTTAAATTCTTTGAAAACATATAACAAATGTCCATTTAAATAAGTTTGATTAGTTAAACATACATTATGCAAGAGCTAAATCTGCCAATTGCAAGTCTTTCGTAAGCCTGAAATGTTATCTAAATTTTTAATTAGACATTAAATAACTCATCCAGACCATAATCAACTCTCGATGGCATCGTTAGCCTGCGATAATTACGGGATTAGAACCCGGTCTGCTGCTTCTGATTAAATAAAAAGAAAATGGACAATCGAGTATGTTTTTATCGTACCGACTTTAGTAATGATGATCGAGGCTAGGCCCAACATTCTATCGCTAAATACCCGGTTCAGGGTGGATCAATTTGACAGCAAATTCCCTTTACATTATCTAGTTTTTAACTAATATAGTGCGAACTACTAGCTCTTTATCCAATCTCCCATAATGTATCGTTAATATCCGTCGTGAATTAGCTATTAGTCTAGATTTACACTTAATGTAAACTTTTATCAGTCGGAGAAGAACAGTATGACGTTAAACCCCAATTCATCATTTCCAAACTGTTATTTAATTGTTTAGAGATTTTCCATCACTAATTGATATAACACACCAGAGCAACCGAATTCCACTCCTTAGCTTGGCTTAATTAAATCAGTTTAACCACTATTTAATATGTTATAGTAAGATGTTCGGTGTTTTAACATGTCATAGTGAGATGTTCGATGTTTTAGCAATCATTATTTAACATGTTATAGTAAGATGTTCGGTGTAATCATTATTTTAAATGTTAAAGTAAGTTTTCTTTGCTGTAGTAAGATGTCTGTGTTATAGCAATCGTTATTTTAAATGTTAATGTAAGTTCCTCTTTGCTGTAGTAATATTTAATATGTGTTGTAGCAATCATTATATAACATGTTAAAGTAAGTTTCTCTGCACTGCAGTAAGATATCTGTGTTGTAGCAATCATTATTCAACTCGCGTAAATATTTTACCAAAATCATAAGTGACATGGTAACAAAATGGAGTTCTGATCCAATTAATACACGGTTTAGTCAGCAAGCGTACTAAAATAGTCAAAATACTTAATGCAGCTAATTAAATTAAGATAATGGCGTAATTTAAAGATACCACCTGGGAGCCCGACCATGATATTCTATAACAAAGGTAGTTTCGTAGATAAAGAAAGACAAATTCAAAACTCGTTCAAACATTTCTGGTAGAAATTGAAAATTAAGTTTACTCGGAACATAAACAACCCTATCACTACTATCTTCATGCTGATATAGGATAAAATTGTACATATGCAAAATCAAAGGAAAGGTTAAAGATAGGTTCCCAGAAAAATATTTATCGGGTGGTAATTTCCAATAAAAGTATAGCATTTTTTGTATATATGGAAAGTAGGGATATCCAATTTATAGAAAAATACTGGATTCCCTGAAAAACACTCATGGAGCGTATACAGGACAAAAATGTCGACAGCCCGACGATTAGGAATATCTGCACGCGTGACGTCAAAGGTTGCACGCGGAGATTGAGCGCTTGATGTACATGTTGATAAACTTTATGAAGAGTTAGACGTATACAACACTTTCTGAGATAAAAATCACGGAAAAAGACGCGGGCAGTGGATAATCCGAGAATTTAATTAGAATTCGATATTTGTAATAAATAGTAAGTGATTAAAGACACCATCGTCTTGTGTATGCAATGAATTCTCCTCCGACTTCGCACCTGTAAGTCACGTGACACAAACA